AGCCCGCTGCGGACCTTCCCGGGCGCGGAAAAGCCTTTGTGTTCCCCACGCCGGCAGAGCACAGCGCCTGCCCCCGGCAGCAAGAGCGGCCGCGGAGAGGAAGCTCCCGCTCCCGGGGTACACCGGTTTCCCATGTGGGAGTGGGGCTGCGGCTGCTGCTCGGTCTTATCCACAGCTGCTGTAGGGTGTGATGGGCGTTTTTATTATTATTATTATTAATGGCAGCTCGTTCGCGCTGAGGTTATATTACAGCCCCATTGTGCGAGGCTCCGCACAAGGCGGTCAGAGACAGTCTGTACCCGGGAACGGGCAGTCAGAACAGAGAAACGCAGCAGAGAGGGTAGGCAGGAACAAACGCCGCTCAGGGAGGCTAAGGATTTTTTTTACCCTGCTTCATCCAACAGGCCAGGGGCAGAAAATGGGGTTTGTAGGCTGCCACGGGCCCTCTCATCCTTTGGACCTTACAGTCCTCTTGTGCAAGTGGAATAAATAACCTGTGGCTGCCTAGTTTTTGGTGGTTCAGCATTTGTAAGTGCTGACCCCTTACAAATTTAGTTTACCCCTTGGTTAAAGCTAAACCTGCCTTCTCTTTCCCTAGCTATTTAACAGAGGTATGGGCAGCTGAGAGCTCATGCCAGCGTGCTGGGTGTCGTGAAGGTAATTATTAATCCCGGGGGCTCCTCGCCAGCCCTGCTCCCTGCCCTGCTGGCATCAAGGGATCGCTGCCCACCTGCCTGCCGAGACTCGCCCTCCCCAGGCCAGGCTCGGCTCAGGCCAGGGCGGGCAGCCCCACAGGCAGCAGCTCACTAGGCTGCCTGCCAAGGGGAGAGGAGGACCACTCCAAGCAGCTGAACTTTTCACTCCAGTTTACAGACGGATTTCCAGAGATACTTGAGAGAGGGGAGGGGATAGGAAGCAAGATTTGTAGGGGGAGCAGCCTGGCCTTTTTCAATTCAGCTGCAGAGTTAGTTAACAAAGTTACAGGTTCTCAGTCTCTTTTTCTCTTTCTTGCCAGCTCTTTTTTTTTTTTTTTCTTTTTTTTTCCTCCTTCCTCAATATAAATACCCTGGGGCGGTTTCTTTTCTTTTTGGTATGAATGTGATGATCTTTCAGGGCTGTGATTGGCTCCGCGGCTTGTCATCGGGGACACACCTCCTGGCGTGGGGCCATCGCCTCCCCCTCTTGTGAAAGCTCCTTGTAACAAGTGAGCGTAATTACATCAGTTACTCACTAGAGCACAGACCTGCTTTAAATTTTGGCCTCTTGGAGACAGCGAGAAGCTGAAGGACTAGAAAATGCAGTTTGAAAGGCCTGTAACACTACGACCCATACAAGTCATGCTGTGCTTTTCCCTTCTCAGGAATTAAGGTTCTCAGCCACACGTGAGGAGGAGTGAATATCTGTACTAGTAATGGAAATGGCTACCTGTTAGGACAACAGATCTGCCGTACCTGAGAAGGATTTATGCTTTTTCAAAGCCTTGCCCACTAAAAAATATCATATCAGGTCCCTTTTGAATTGAGATTTGGTGTAAATTAATCATAAAATACCACACTTTCAAGGGCACCAAAAACTAAGAGCTTAGGGTGAGAGCTGCATGGGCTGAGGGTGATCCCTTAAAAAGAGCAGAGCCAACCAAACAAAGGCATCTGTGTGCCAAAAGAAAATGCATTTCACCCAGCAGCAAGATCCTAGAAGACAGATAGGACCTAGTGGGGGAAGAAAGTGACCCTACAGAGCAGCATTCCTGTCCAGGTGCAGGACAGGAGGCTGATGCATTTCTGACAGATCAGGAGAGAAGCGTGCAGTGCTCTTGTGAGCTTATTCGAGAAAGGACTGAAAGTCCTCTGCAGAAAGAAAGTGCTGTGGTGGGAGCATCTTTGCTGTGCTCCAGGGGCCCAGATCCTCTATTGAGGTAAATAGGTGTAGCATGAAGGAAGCCAGTGCTCTCGCCAAAAACTTATGCCATGTTGGCATGGCAGAGGCTGGCTGATAAGGAGAAAAATTTCTGCATGGGAAAGAAAGGAAGCAGTGCTCTGAGTGTAGGAGAGGACTCACGTCTTATACCCTTTTGTCCTGTAGGGATGTGACCCTGATGTGTGGCACAGATGCTGCTGCAGCTTGGTGAGTTGGAAGGATGCAGATGAGGTGTAGGAGAATGTAAACCATGCATCTGGCTGGGAGGGCCGAATCCTCAGGTACAGATGTTCACAGAGTGTCAGAACTGCTTTTCTGACATAGGACAGACCCAAGCTTTTTAAAATGTATTTGCAAAAATTATGCAAGGAGAGACATTTACACCCTTGTCCCCTCCAGCTATTCTCTAGCATGCAGATGTTTGCTCAGACCAGATCCAGCCCTGCATCTGGATCAGGCAGAGCAAAACTTGAACTGACTCTCACATTGTTTGTTCAGTGGACTGAATATGATTGTAGCCTTTTATCCCTGTCTGTCCCTTTCAACTCTCTGCCCTCTGTGAAAATAAAAATAACCTTCTGCTTTCTATCCTGCATTAGAGAAACTTCTTCCTGAAAATGTCATGAAAACTGATGTGCCCCTATGAAAAATGTGGATTTTGATGATTCAGCATTTTCCCATGGAAGATAAAGCTCTTTTGTTCCTCTGACCAGCTCCCAGCAAACGGCTCAAGGGCATGTGTTTCATGCTTCCTCCCAGGAACCTGTTCCTGAAGCTGCTGAGAAACTTCCTAGGTTGTGGCCCACTCAGTAGGTGTCATTGGATCAGACAGTCTAAAAACTAGCAGAGTTCTTTGTTCTTACAGACCTGAAAACATGAAAAATAGTACTTATGTTTTCTGTGGTATCAGGTGTTCTCTGATTGCATGAGCTTCAGTGGGACCTGGGTGCTGCCTGATTTTGGGAAGAGTTCTCAGTAGAAGTGGCTCTGCCCTGTCTCTGAGCTGAAGCTGTGGAAAGGAAGGAGCAATGTATCACAGGAGCCAAACTGGAGGCATGAAAGGGACAGCAGGTTTCCACTTCTGAAGGATACTTCTGAAAATACTTGAGATTTGGGTATCTGAAACGGAAAATACCTTTACTGAGATGTGAGAGCTACAGGGACCTAACACCTTTGCAAGAGATGCCTGTCTACACCAAGGACCAGGGAACTGAGACACAGAGGACAGTGTTTAAGGTATGAAGCTGGATTTCTGGTACAGGAGGAGCAGGCAGAACAGAAGGAGGTTGGTACTGGGACAGATGTGTTAGCAGGCCACAGGTACTTCCATGTTCCCAGATGTCATATCCAACTTCATGGTGACCTCTGGCCCAGAGTGAAAATGAGGACTCAAAGGATATTTGATCATTTCCCTTTTCTGTATGCAACTGTGAAGCCACCTTTCTTTTCAGGTGGATCAAGATTTTATCCTTACTGCTATTACCATGCCTAACATTCCTTTTGAGAAACCATTGTAGTGAAATTCTTTAATGAGTCTGAAATTCAGAGGTGGGTAGAGCAAAATAATAATGCTAGCCATAATAATAAATAACAGCCCCATTTTAATTTGCATCTCACAAAACAACAACCCAGTCCAAATTCTCATCTGCCGTGGAGATAAAGAGTGCGATTTACTCTGTCAGCTATGGAGAACAGACACACGACAAGACAGTTACCTCCGGCCATAAACAAACCGGAGTGGCTTTGTCTTTTAACAGGCTCCCTTCTCATCTCCTATGGAATGCTACTTTCTGCCTCATGTAACCCTCTGGACAACTCCACTGACCTATATTGTTTTAATAAATTTGAGCAGTTTGAGCTAAAGACCCTTCAATTTTCTGATGTTGTTGCCACTTCACAGGGCTCCCTTTCTTGCTCTGCTCTGCAAGGTTCCATAGCTAGTATCCTGGGAGAAGCTAAATAAACAGCTTCCAAGTTCCAACACAACCAGTATGTGTCAAACTTCCTTTTAAATGTTAGCCTTGGAGGTGAGAAGGAAAAACTGAGTTGACTAGGAAAATGTATAACCTTTCAGAAACAGTTCTTTATTACCTTCCTTATCACCCCTTTAAGGTCATAAAGATTATGCCAAAGAAGCTATTAAGTTTTCCAGGATTGCAAAATATTTTATCAATGATAAAGATGAAGCATGCCGTTCCACTTTTCAATTTTTTGCTTTATATTTCCTTTTATGTTTGGGGATTTGATCTTAATCTTCTGTCCGTACCTTTCTGTTTCTGTCCTGATTGGAGGCATGGTTAATTGTTTCTTGTAGCCAGAAGCCTGCACTGAATTGCAAACAGAAGACCTCTCAGGCATTCAAAAAAAAAGAAAAAAAAGAGAGTGAACCTGGAAACTAAAAATGTGAACACCATGATTCCTTTACAGGCTCAGCTTCAGATTTTTCTCTCTGTCATGGCTCTTGAGATGTATATAAAATTTCTGAACAGCAATGACTGACAGCAGTGTTCCAGCAGTGACAGCAAACTGCCTTCTCTACTCGGGTTAATTTAGGAGCTGGATATATTCTCCCACCTAAAATCATCTGTGAAAACTCGACTCCAGAACATCTCTAGCAGCTAAATACTGGAGTCTGGGCTGAAAGGGCTGCACACTGGTCTCCACCAGGTTACCCTAGGGATGAAATAGGGATCAAATGTCGTATGATGCTGAGATTCCGTTCCTCACACGCCACAGTGAGGAGCAGATTAGTGTCCTGCTCATAATGCATCCCCTCCAAATCCTTCACTGGAGAAGGATATCCAGAGCTTTGGAGAAATGCTGAAAAGAGGCTCATGAGAGGCCCAATTCTTCATACTGAACTGGAAAATGTTATGAGTGGATTGCAAAGCTCTACTGAATATCGAGTTAATCCAAGATTTACGTGCCATAAGCCTCCAGAAATTAGGCTGTGGTGGGCTTTAGTTAAAGTAGTGTTAGCTAACCTTTTAAGAAAGCCTGTTTTCCTTCCCTGTACAGCCTTTCAGATAGGCCATGCTTTCCTGAAGCAACAGATCCTCAGCTGGCATAACACAGATTCATCTCCCTGAAGCCAGTGAAGCTGGAGGTTAGGAGCATCTGACCCCAAAACAATTCCTCTTAATGGTGACATGTTTGTTGCCACCAGGCAAGATGACAGACCGAGTGCTGGTGATGGAAGAGTAGCAGACAGGCTACCGGCTCAAAGATTGTCCATTTGTGTCTCCCATGGCATTTAGTACAAAGAGAGGCAGAAGCAGGAAGATGAGACTCTTCAATGAAGTTGGCATGAAGAAGAAGAGGCAAGTCTTGCTCAAGCTATGTTAGAGTGGAAAAATCTTTTATCAGGAAGTACCAAGTATAAATCACAAACAGATACTGCTTGGTTGAGACCAATTCTGAAAGAAGACAGTAGCCAATTAATTAATGCCAACTGGCAATAAAACAGAAGAGTATCACAACATTTATGTGTCAGCCTTTTTCACAGTGTACCGCAGAGAGGGGCTGCCCCTTTCCCACTTGATTAGACTACTTTCCTAGGGTGGCCAAAGAGGCCAGGAGTGCAGGATCTTCAAGGTGGTGTTTCAGGTGCCTTTCCAGTCCAAGCAGGCATATCAGCATCTATTTTATGCTCTGTTCATGTTGACTAGGGTCTTCCTCCAGTCTCACAACCAGTATAGAAAGACTTCCTTTGTGATTGTAACAAGAAAAACAGGCTGGGTGGGAGAGGATAAAAAAAACCAAGGTGACATGACTTCTCTGACAGCTCTGTCTGGGGAATACTTGTAATTCCCAGGTGGAAACTTTGTCTCTGGGGCAGTGATTTGTGGTGCTGAAGCCACCCACAGTCTCCTAGTGGCAGCTTAAGGTAGGCTGGTCACTGTGTAGGAAATGCAAGTTCCATCCTGCATCCATTCTTAACATCCATTGTAGATGACTTATGATAACAATGGTGGACTTGAAAAAAATTTAAGAATTAAAAGTTCAATATATTTCATCTCTTTTGAAATAGAGCTATTTAAATGTGGAACAATGGCCATCTGTATTTGCATGCTTATTATATTTGATAAAAAGTATCTCTTTGTCTTGATTATATTTTTAAATATCGAGTTACACGTTTCCTGCCAAAACATTTCAGAAAGCTGGACCAAAACACTGCCTAAGCACCTGGAACAAAAACTTGATAAATTATAAATCAACTTTTGAGACCAATTTCTCTTCCATGAGTAGAAGATGACTAGTTATTCCATTTCAGTTTATTCAATAACTTAAATTCAGTGACTTGCTTGTTCAAACTTAAGAAACTTAATGAAGTTTGAAAAAAAACAGGCAAGCTTGTTTTTCTTCTCTGACCTATGAGGAAAAGTGAGGATGAGCAAACAAGATGCAGCAGATCTACAATGCTGGGGTATATGGTATCTTTGAACAACCTGTTTAACCCACTAGACACTGATACAACTTCTTTGTTTAATATTAATTTTTATTTTGTGTTTTTCAATTAGGGTGGTTTATATAAACAATAGAGTTTAATATAAATGTTTTTAGAGATTTTTTTAAATGGATTCAAATTCATTCCAGTTGCAGCCTGATATGAATCACTTCTAAAGATAAAGTCATCCTATAACAAATTAAAAATACATAATTCACCATTTCCCAGCATAGAAGATTGTAATAATCAAGATCTAATAAAAGCATGTAAAGCTGTAAATAAATATGTATAGATAAAACTGTCTGCTGGTAACAGTAATTTAGTAGATAGACTGTATGTGGTTTTAAGTCAACAGAGTCTTTCTGCTTACAGCCTGATGACTATCAGCCTTTCTTTATGGAAAATAATTCAAATGATCAATAGAAAAGAAGGTTTTATTTAATCTGTTCACTGAAGCTCATATTTATCAGTTTCAGTCGAGTTTCCTTGTAGTTACTAGATGGGTGTGGTTTTATGTGCCCAATGTTTCAATTTCAGGCTGTTCTCTGTGAAGTTAAAGTCAAAGCTTCCTGAACTCCATCAGATTTTCCCCATCAGTTTTCCCAGGAGTTTGGGACCAGCTTTCAGTGGTCTGGATCTGTGACTACTCAGCTGCTAAAAATCAACCCCTCATGCAATTCCTTATGGATAGCTTCTGTTGTTGCCTGATGTGTTCCATTTACAGCAGAGGAGCGAAGAAAAAAGATGCTCTGATGATAACATATGCTAACAGTTTGTATTGTCCCTGCCTATGCTGCACCTCTATTTCAAGCTTCTGTCTGTTTACCAGATCTTTCCTGTCTCAAAAGTGACTTTAGATTGTCATCAAAGCCTTTGTCAGTACCTGTGATGAGGCAAAAGGCAACAGCGGGTGAACTCAAACAGAAGTCACAATTTGAAAAGTAAAGGCAGAGTGAGCAGGTCTAGTCTGAGGCTGTAGGATGATGTTGTGAAACTGTGAAAACTGGCATCATTTCATTGAAGAATAAGAAGAAAGAATTAAGATAATTTATTGCAATACAGCTAGAAGTGTCAGTCACTTGCTAGGAGCTTTTCTTCTGTGTCCCCATCCTTCATTTCTGTCCCATCATGTCCCATCCTATCCTTTTCTTCTGGGTACCACTGGAACTTAAAACTCCTCTTCCTGCCTCCAGTGCCCAGCACAGAGCTGTGCTGTGCAGGAATTGCTGGACCATCTCTGTGCAGAGCTGCAGTCTCTCTCCTTGTGTGAACTCTCTCAGCCCCCAGTGTGCATCACTGTGCCCTCCAGGCATCTGCTAGGAGTAAGGCAGAAGGTGAGTGGTAGTGTCAGACTCATGAGGCAAAAGCAGGCAGTGAGCAGAGAAACTTGGTGCTGTATCATATCCATTCTCAGCTATTTCCGAGTGCAGACAGTTCCCCTGGTGCAAGGTACACACTGCATATTTGCATCTCCTACCTATCTACTGATCAGCCCATCCATGTCATGAATCAGCTCCTCCATGAGGGAGAGGCCTCTGGAGAGACATGTGCGAGCTGTTTAACACATTTATTGCTGTGTGTTTAGCCTGTTTGTTAAACTAGTAATGGCAGAGTTCATGTTCACTCCATCAGGGAAATCCCTGTTCCATGTCCCTGGCAAACATGTGCAACCAGATGTCCAGCTGGGATCCAAAATGACCCAAACCTGTCATCCCTGAACCAGCTTCTGTTTTTCAGCCCTCCCCACCAGTTTACAGTTCCTGTTCTTGAGCTCCTTCCTCAGACTATAGATGCCTATCAGCATAACTGGAATTCATGGCATGACCTTTGATTCCTTCTGTCCTCATGCCAGACTCCAGCAGGGCTCTGTTATCAGATACTAAAGTCTATTAAAACATGAAGTGCATGCACAAATTTACCCAGGCGGGTATGCTGGCATCCTTGCCTGATAGTTCCACCTTCACAGGGGAGCACAGGCATCTCTCTGCCTCCTTAGAGCCGCCAGAGCCTCTCTTTACATAAGGAAAATATGTTGGCACAAAGGCAGACGATTACACATGCTTCTGCTATTTTCTCTTTCTGAGGGTAAATGCTTGGTCACATGCCATGATGTCATCTTTGACACCACATGCTGGTGGTGTGAGAAGCAAAGATGGTGTTCTCATCCGCTCTCAGGCTGAACCTGCAGCGAGCCTTCACCCCTCGGGCCCAAAGATCTGTCCTCATTATCCTCCTTCTAACTCAAGGCAGCATTTTCCCAGGTGGAGGCACAGATAAGAGGTATGACTTGCCCTGTGAAGGCCATGGCAAAGCTGGGGACAGAAGCCAGGCCTCGGGAGTAGCAGTGCTATTATTCTGCTGTTCTGCCGTGCCACATGTGGTTTCATGACACATGTAAGTTCTTCCAAACAATTTTGTCTTGTGTTCAGTCACCACAGTCATCAGCAGGGCTGCTGCCTGAGCCCTTTTACACCTCAGGTTATGACCCTTCTTGGCTTGACCTGTTAGAAGAGCTCCAAAATTGGCAGTATGGGGAGGTGAGGGGCTGGTTGACCTCCTTCTTTCCTGAGTAGATTGTCAAAGTTTGGGTCCTATTCCAGGCCCAGTCTCTGCACAGTCTGTAACCAGAGCAAATCTGGCACAGGCAGCAGGACTCCCGCAGCGCACTGTGGTCATGTGTATACAGCAAGATGTCTCTTCACCAATAGTTGATGGGACACAGAGACTGCTCCCCGTCTGAGTACTTTCTGAGATGCCTCCTAGGACCACTTGAGCCACAAAATTAATTCTCATTTCCTCTGAGATCTTGGCTCAGTGCTCCTGGCTGGTTCCTCATGCTGCATTACACTTGTGTGAGGGCCAAACTCACCATCAGCCACCTTGACCTGCCGTCATTTCACTTATTGCTCTGAGTGAAAACTGTCCCATCTTGTTGTTCTGGATACATTGTGCAAAATTTTCCTGCCTCTGTCTGGTTTCGCACATGCTGGCTTGTGGCACGTATTTTGGATTTGGGCACTCTAGCTGCAGGCAAACTCTGTTCTCCTTCGGCAGCATGCTGGGTTTGTTAGAGGTATTAGGAAATGTTCCATGGTGGGTGGAAGCATATAGTATATCTGAGATAGTTGTTGTGGCTGTAAGAGGCAGCTCTGAGCTGGCTCATGCAGCCTCTCCTGCTTGGGGTATTCTCTCTGCTGTGTGCAGCAATGCTGCTGCAACTCACCCATTCACCTACACTGGCACTGCAACTACCACACCATCTCCACAAACTGGAGTGTCTCAGCTGATCCAAGGGAATTTTAATTGAACCACCTTTGCCCACTGTGAGCAGGTGCCAGTTTGTCAAGCCTTGGTGATGTTAGCTAGCACTAGGGAATGCAGTGCATTCACATGCGTGCTTTCCATGGGACTGTAAGAATCCTTCCCACTAAATGATTATACATATGCCTTTGCAATCCTTAAATGGAGGAAGTGCCTTTTTTTGTGCATAACACACCATGAAGTCATCATGGAAGCTTCTTCTCCCTTGCCCCAATGTCTCTCAGCTCATCACACAGCAGAAGTTTTGCACGTGAGAGGAATGGGATGTGGCCAAGAGCAGACTTAGTAAGTTGAGCTTTGGACAGGCAAAGTTTGATGCCAGACTCACAGATGTAGGGAGCTTCCTATTAAGTCTCCTCCCAGACAGACTCCAGACAGTGTGGCATGGGGCAAGAGACAGATTTGGTATTAGTCAGATTTTAGGCATTTTTGAGCAGTGCAGGTTAAAACCAAACACCTAGAAGGGATGAGCCTTCAGCTCTTCCATGATGTGCTTTGGCCCTGGTACAGGCAGGCAGCTGCATTTAGAGTTAGCTTCAACCTGAGGTCTCCAAACATAGTCCTGCAAAAAGTACATCAAACAATGCTCTGCAGCAGCACAATGTGTTTCCTGTTGTTCTCACTCTGGTAGTGTGTGCTGTTCTCACACACAGCTTCACACTCCTTGGTTATACATTAGCAACAACACATTCTTTAGCTGAAGTTTGAGTTGG